GGGGGGGGGGGGGGGGGGGGGTTGCTTGAGAGTACCGGATGAGTTCTCTGCCGAGTCCGTCGTATGAGTCGGGCCTTGGGGGACCGACGTCAGCCATCCATGAGTAGTCCTGCTCATCGCACTCGGGTGAGTGGAGATAGTCCAACATCTGCCCACATCCACACACACAGGCAAACACACATGCATTTGTGTGCGTGTGGCTGTTGATCCGCTGACCACATTGAGTGCCTCCTGCACTCGAGTGGCATTCTCGGCCATGCTGGTGAGCACCGCCACCTCGGTCTCCTCTCGCTCGCGCGGGCCAAGCGCACTCGCCTGACACATACACAAACACAACCCACGAGACACCACCCACCCAGAGAAATAGCGACACGGACAGCGTCAGCACGTGCCCATCCACCCACTCACCGAGTGCTGCGGCTGCTCTTGGTGCACAGAAACGGGACCGAAGGCGTCTGAGATCAACCGACGCACCTGTGTGCAGACACAGACACACATGGATGGATGGATGGATGGATGGATGACACGTGCGTGTGTGTCTATGTATGTGTGTGTGTGTACATGGTTGATCCTGAGCAGGTCGGTGAGTGTGAGAATCGGCCCGTCGTCCCACGGCGGGAAACTCCACTCCCGCAGATTGTCATACAGACGCATACTGAGCACACACACCCACATTTGACATACGTGTGTCTGCTGGCTGGTCTCAACTCAACTCACGCTCACCCTTTGAGCACGGTCCCCTTATGCAGGGTGAACTCGCACATGAGGTGGATGTCGTAGTGGTGCCGTGAGAAGGCCAGGAGGGAGGTGAAGAACTCGTGGGGCGGGACGAGCGTCACGCCCTCGATCCACGTCAGGCCGGGCGAGTCGGTGCCCTGACCACACACACACACATCGGCAGACACACACACATGTGTCCACTCGTGTGTGGGTGGCTATGTGTGTGTGGGTGGTGGGGCTACTTGTTGTGCGACGAATACGCCGAACACCTCTTTCGGCTGTTTGGCGGTGTTGTTGTCAGGCGGGCAGGCAGCCGCAAACCCTGCGACAGGCAGGCGCAGCCGACAGATGGATCTCGGCGCAGACAGGTGTGGTGTGTGAGGGTACCGACTGACTCACCGATGGGGTTTCTGAAGTTGCAGCAGCCCTTGATGGCCTTTTTCTTCTGCTTTTGCGCACCTGTCAGACAGACACACAGACACACCAAGGCAGTCATGAGACGATGTGTGCTGTGCCGTGCCGTCCGATGGTGCAGCGCACCCGAGCTAGTTGCGCTAGGTCTCATGTTGACGCCATCGAAGTTGTAGACGGCAGTGCCGGCGACGATGTCCCACCCCAACGCATAAGGGTGGGCGGGCTTGGTTATCTCGAGCTTGCGCCTTCACACACACACACACACACACACACACATGCACGCACGCACGCACGCACACAGAGAGAGAGATGGAGAGAGATGGACGAGTGTGTGTGAGGGAG